ATTTTTTTAAATCAGATTAGCAAAAACTAGAAGTAAATTGTTTTCATTTTCCTTAGATACATTAAACTGTTACCAGTTTCTATTGTTATGATTTAATTTTTATTGATTAGCAGAATATTGTTAAAAAGAAAAGATCCAGGAGTGATAAATTGGTAAATAACTAAGCATCGTCTTTAGCTTCCAGCAGCCATGTTTAGTAAATGCCAAGAACATGAACTTTTAGCTAGACACATGCAAACTACAGATTGTCTGAACTGTGCTTAGAAGTAATTGTCTATTTTATTAGGCTACATTATTACATATTATGCAACGATGTGATTATATATTATATCTTTATTTACCGATAACAGAACTATCGATCACTACACCTGCAGCTGGCATCCTGGTATCTATAGGAGAAGGTTTAATTTGTTATTTTGCCAAAAAAGAAAGAAGAATCAGAGATCAAGCGACAGCTGAAATAACATCTGGAACAGAAAATGGATATAAAGTTCAGCAAAGCTCCTCTAACGGTAACACTTGCATTGATTTCACACCGTGGCAGCTCCTCGGCTTTGTGGTTAAATAAAATGTGTTTGGGTCATTCTTAATTTACTAAAATAGAGTTTTGTGGTTTTATTTATGTTATATGCGTTTTGAGAGAGATGAAGATTGTGATGGATGGATGACAGATGTGGTCTGGAGATGTACATTACTGGTGTGTTCGTGTATCAAAGGAGATTTAGCAGAACTTTCTCATGTTGGTTAATGTTGAATTAATATTAAGCATTTACATCATTTGTTGCACCCCTGGCCTCCATCAGTAGTTTTCATCGACTGTTTTCGGATCAAATGATTTTTCTTTTCATATTTTATTTTAACACTTCTAACAGTAAAACCACGTTGTTTAAAACTATTTATTTCCCACTTCTTGGCTTTATACTGGCCCTTTAACAGGAGATCCTCGCTCTGCAAACCTTTAAAGTTGAATTTATTCGTCTTTAAAGCCATTTCTATGAATTAACACTTGCATGTTCCCATAGTGGTATGGGAATTCTTACTCTTGTATGGAATGATGGTGATTATCAAGATTTATATTTCTCTGGAACAGGCGCTCACGTTTATGTGGACCATTTTCTAAAGTTAAGACATTTGTTGAATCTGACGTTGTGTTCGTAAAAGTCCAAGTTAGGAGAAAAAGTATGAGAAATTTATGACAAGAATACGAAAATACTGTTTAAGGCCTATTATTTTCGACAAACCTCGACATAAACAAGTTTACCAATTGTTTTTTGGACTTTGATAGCTAATTTAAACAGCCAACACTAGCCTCTAAAGCACAATGTTCCACAAACGTATTATTGCAATATGCAACAATCATGTAACAAATATATTTTTATGCTAGGCATTCAGGCTAATTCAAGCATGTTTTTCTAGCCACAGTTTAAAGATATTGCTATTGGAAAAAAAAACATTTGGTTTCTAATTATGCAAAATAATTACACACCTCACGCAAATCTCCTTCCCAAACAGCTGAGCTATTTTGGGTGTATTTTCATTCAGTGATCACTATAATCAGAGATTTTCCAGACAGTCTCAGCTCAGTTAAAAATGGGGAGAAAAAAAAAATCTTGACCTTTTCACTAAAACCACCAAAAAACAGCAAAAGAGCACACAGTCACGTCCTTCAAAACAACATCCACAGAAGCTGCAGCCATGGACCAACTCCAAACATGATCACATTCTCATCTTTCTGTGCGTACTGCTTGCTTTTCCAATCTAGCTTTTTTTCCTTCGCCTCCACAAACAAAAGATCCTCCAGAGCTTTGACATTTTCAATATATGAGCTTATTTTTCCATGCTATCTAGCTTCCTGAAAACACCTGCATAATAACTCTGCTATAAATCAACTTAAAAGCGGTAAGAGGAGGTCAAGAGGATGAGGCTGAGGAAAGATGAGAAAGGAAACAGAGAGATAGCGTTGATGTTTATAAGTCGGAGGAGGACAAGGACAGGAAGGAGAAGGAGATGGGTAGAGCAGATGAAATAAATAGAAAGAGTGAATGGCAGCTCTTGAATTTAATAAGGTTTTACATTGAAATAGAAAATGAATCATATAAAGACATAACTGGATAAAAAAGCCTCAGAACAATTAGCTGTATGTCCACATTCATTTCAAAAAGTAACAAAAATGTACCTAAATAGAAGAGCTTAAATGGATTGGGATCAATAGGAATGACCGGTGTGCAACGTCCCTGGTTTGGCTTTCAGCCACGAGAACCAGTCTGATGCAACGCTGATCTCATCCGAGCGGTGAGCCACACACCGCTAACACCACACACACAAACCCGTGCTGGTTTTTTACTCGTCTCACTCACAGGAGTCGTGCACTCGACTGTTTTAGGCCCCGCTGATATACGAGCAACAATGATAGCGTGACACAGGCAAACCGAGAGGGTAATTGCCTCATCCAGTCCAACTCGACAACAACAAAGCTTCAAGCCGTTACCACGACGGCTGGTTGAAATTGGTAAGAGTTTGATTTAAATGTGTTATTCTTACTATAAAACGATAGAAGCACCAACTGAAAACACAAAGGAGGGCTGGCTTAACAAGGCACAAACAAAACAAGAAGACTTTACGGAAAGACTCACCGCTTTCTTTTAAAAGGAGACTTTGGTATATCTGCCACAGGTATCATCTGTTCTCCTGGTCTGACCCACATTATGGGACCGTCGTCGCTCTTTGTTGGACTCATGCCTCTGAGGCTGGAAAGCGTTCCCCATGGAAGAGTCCGCTGGATTCAGACAAGCAGAGGAAAAGGAGTGAGGAATAGCTTCATATCAAAGCAACATGCAGAAACATTTATCAGCTGTTCATAAGATTATTTCCTGCTCCCAAGAATTTGTGACAAACTCCTTCAAGATGCAAGAAAATCAGAGCATAATAAAAAGCCCCAGTAGATTTCCAATCTGCTCTATGCCAGAAAACAAGACAGCTGAGGCATATTCTTCCCAGCAGGTTTTAGGAATACATAGAGAACCTATATTTTCTACATTTTTGTCACATTAGAAGCCCAAAATGTCTCCATCAGGCTTTTAGCTAGCAGTGGGTTCGGGTGTACCTTTACTAAAAATATTATTAATTGTACGCCCCTGTTTTGGGGATGTACAGCTTTGGTACGCCCTAATTTTCTCCCGGATTATGGTGGAATATCAGATGTCCCTACAGACAACTTACAGGGAACAAGCATGCTGCGCTGTTTGCAAGCAGGTAAGCTTGAAAAGTTTGCGAAAACTCATTAAATGCCTGATAACTATAGGATTATTTTGGAGGATTTTTTTGGGACAATATTGTCCGTAGAATGGGGGAAAAAAACAACATCTAACATAAATGACAACTGGGGAGGGGCGCGATCTGTACTAAATCCGTAGCAAATCTCAAACAGATGCTGCAGTTTTTTCATGGTTCTTCCAAGATAATTGGAGTATTTATTTCCTAAAGATCGATAAATGGATTTTGTTTGTGGATAATTGTGTACTTCTTTTACCCTTTGGACATTACAACTGGTATAACTGCCCTTCAGCGCATCACACTTGCTTGTGTAACACATCAGCTAACATTTACAAAATGTACTGATATACATGAAAATGTGACAACCAAGTTCAGGTTAGTTTCAGTGACAGATGTATTCTTAACAGAGTAGATACACAGAAATAAAAGCAGTCCTGGCACTTCCTCCTCTGTCGGTCTGCAGATTACGTTGTAGTATTTGTAGACTGTTTTTCAGTTTGTTTAGCTTGTTGTATATGTAATGTAGTGGCGAATGTTGGCCTAGTCGGTTTGAGCAGTGTGCCTGTGCTCTGAGAAGGTTGTAAGTACTCGGTTCGATCCTAAGCAAGACCCTTAATTCCACACTGCTTCTCGGCGCCACACAATGGTAGCCCACTGCTCCCCAAGGGGATGGGTCAAATGCAGAGATTGAATTTCCCCATTGAGGGGAATAAAGGGATTTATATTTAACAATCAAGTTTTGTCTTTAGCAGTAAGTTTAGGTTACACTCTGATTGTTTGAATTAACCTATGAAACATAATATTGTACCTAAAAATGATCTCATGTCTTCCTTACGACATTTCCAACTCTAGTCAAGCAGAGACACTTCCCATAATTAGGACAAAAGTAGTGTTGTAGCAAAGACAAAAAGTTAGCTGCAATCCACCTTAAAATGCAGGAAATAGCATTTCAGAGAGTTGAAATTTCAAAATTGTCCAGGGGAGGACAACCCCGGTCCCCGTACGCTGCGCAAAGCCTAAAGATGTGATACAGAGGTGAACACTGTATGAATATTCCAACTAAAAGCCTGCTCTACATATTTAAGCTTTTTGATGGATGGGGAAAAAAAACAGAGTGACCTTTTGAAGAAGGAAACATCTTTTCATATAGATCTCAATGCAAGGTAATTCAGGAATAACCTCAATTAGAAGCATCCCCAAACATACAGCGGTAGAGATGCAGCCTGATCAGGAGAATATATTTGAGGAAAAGATACATTTATTTAATTCACAAGTATGCTTTGTTTTGAGTATGTAAATCCCAATTAACAAAGAAATTAGTGATTTCAATGGGAGGAAAAGTTTGGGGGGAAAAAACAACAACAAAATTACTGTATTATCAAGATCCATTACTCTATGGCAGATGTCTTCAACATTTTCCAGGCCAAGGACCCAAACTGATGGCGAGACGGAGCGGGGACCCCCTAATGATATATATTGTATGAAATTGTGTTATATCCAACTGGTCCTATAGTCACTCTATTACAGATGGAGTAATGTAACTAAAGTAATTTCTCCCTGGGATTATTAAAGTCTTTCTGATTTTGATTCCTGGTTGATGGGACAGGTGTTGTGAATGAAACGGTGCCCAGCTTGAAAGAGCTCCTGTGTGTCGCTGAATGAGTGAATTGATAACTGAAAGACATCTTCTGCCTTCATTTATCTGTTTACTACAGTGTGTTGAATTCATGTTAACGTGTATTTAAAGACATTTCAATTAGTGGAAAAAAAGGCAGGGTGGAATATAAAAAAAAGTCTAATCAACCAAAATTTTCGCTACCTCCATGCAGTACCTCCGTGGACCCCTACGGGTCACGGACCCCCTGTTGAAGACCTCCGCTCTGAGGAGACATTAAGAGCAAGCTAGGAGCTGTATCAAGATTAACCACCTGATAAATCTAACGCCCTAGTATATTAATGGGGGTAGCATCTTGAATTCTTCTTCATCTTTTGTGTATATCTACAAAAAATTCAAATAAAACACTGATCTAATGACAGGTTTTAATCTCTCACTGCCTAATCACATCTAAACACACTCTTTACAAGGTTTAAGTCCTCTGATGTGGTGGAATCATCCAGGATAAAAATTACCTAAGCATTTAGAGCTGATCTGAATTCCTCCGTCTCATTTTTAACCCCGATCCATATATCTAATGAGCTGCCGTTTGGGATGTCTGCCATGCATCTGCAGCAGCAGCAGACTCACCTTTAGGAAGGGGGACTCCTCCAGCATGCTGAGGAACTCTGGGAAATAATCCCCGACCTCTTCGTCCACGGCTCCTACCAGGCTAATCTGTCTCATCGCTCCAGCTCTATACGTGCCATTGCTGTAAGTTCTCTTCACCTGCAGAAAAGTGAGAAAGAGAAAACACTTTTTAAATCTTCCCTAAAAAAGTCCAAAGAAAGATAAAGCTAATTATTACAGTCCATTTTAGGGTTGGATAGAGCCCCCCCCCTTTTTTTATGCATAAAAAAAATCTAATCTCCTACATCTAACACAATATTTTTAGAGCCAAAAGGAGGAAATCAAAGAGCTCAAACCATGAATGATGTTTCCTGGTTATTCCTGTGAGGTTCAACAAAGAAATAAAAATCATTAAAAAAAAAACAGGAGGCACTAAATTCTGAACAGGGGAGAAACAAATCCTCATAGAAGCTGGAAATCATTACTTGGTGTCAAAATAGACTGTATGCGTGAGTGTCGGCGGATTTACTTTTCCGTTTCTGCTCTGCTTATGTGACTCAGACGGTTCGCTGCTTTTCACTTGGCTGACGGTGCAGCTACCCGTCTCTCACAGCCCTGGCCCTCAACAGTCCCTCTGTGTGTGCATGCCTGTGCAGTACGTGCAGCATGTGGTCTGCACGCTGTACTCTTGGCTGATTTGGGATGCGAATGTGTGTGTGTGTGTGTGTGTGTGTGTGTGTGTGTGTGTGTGTGTGTGTCCCAGCAAGCCAAATCCTTGGCTGCGCGCCTCTAGTGAGTCACCACTTGACAACGAGGCAGAGCTGAAGGTGGAGAGATGGCGCATAGGGAGAGGAGTCAGGATACCAACGAAAGGAAGAAAACAGGTGGAAGGAAGAGAGGAGGGGAGTGATGAGAGCTAGAACTAGGCTTGTAAAAATAATCAAACCCCTATTGCTGCTTTACAACAATAGGGAATTAGATTTTTCCTTTTTCTTTAATAAAAAAGGAGAAAAAAGGTTTATAGTAAGTCTGATGGAGCTTAAAGCTCCACTGTTCAAGCAGGAGAATATGTCTTTCTGTTGACTAGTTAGTTATACACAAGTTGGACAAATAAGACCCAAGCTGTGTGATGGAAAACTACCAATACAAAATACCTGGAGCACACTTTCTCAATAGCAAAACATAACGGCCATTTTTCTTTTTAAAACAGCAAGGAATAGGGAAGCTGGTCCCATCTGACAGGAGGATGTTTGAAGCTGAATATGTGGCACTAATACAGGAAAATCTAATGGAGTCTGCTAAAGACTCAAGACCAACGTAGGAGGTTAAAATTCATCCCAACGTCCCAAAACATATAATCAGAGCTTGAGTGGTACTTAACATCATAATAAACACTTCAAGGCAGGAAAAGATTGTTCTAGAACAGAACTAAGTTTGGCTGATAAAAAACACACATTTCAGTTATTTGTTCCTAATCTGTTTAAAACTTTGAAAACCATCTTTCATATTCACAATTATGCCCTACTTAATGTTTGAAACATGAAAAGGTTCAAATGAAAGACTACAATCAGTAAAAAGGCGTAAACGCACAGAAATGATTAGCATTAGAACAAACACATAGAAGTAAAAGGGAGAAATATCAGAAACAATTATAAAGTAGGCAGAGGGACAACCATGATAGGCTTGGAAAAACAAAACAAGGCGGCTTTAAAGAGGAAGATGGAGGGCAGATGGAAGTGAGAAGCGAGTACTCGGGTTATAAAGCGCAAACTGGACACAGACTAAAGGAGAAAGGGCGAGACAGCTGCCAGGAGCATCTCTGGGCAAAGTGCCGACTCCTTACTAAAGCCATTTAAAAGCCGATCTAAAAGAGCATGGAGTAGATATAGCATCCCTACTGCAGGTGTTTTATGTATTACCATTTACAAACTGACCCAGCTGCATGTTTAATCTTAATATCAAACCATTGGACTCATTCTGGTTAACGGCGAAAAGGCAACATCACTTTACAATGTGCTTTTCCCACTTCATTAAATCCTGTCTGTCTCCCGACACTGAAGCGGACGCAACGTATGCTAAAGGCCTGGATGATTCCCTTCACACACGCACAGCTCAAGTACTAGTGAGTCAACGACCTTAATATGTGTGCGCACACATGGATTCATCATCCTATTCACGAGTGACTCCCTTAGTGTTGTCACCACAGAGCTTGTGTGCATTTGTGAGTGAATGCATTTATCTGCGTGTCTGATTTTAATTAGCCCTGCTTATGAGCACATCTCTTTATCTGTGTGTGTGTTTACACATGCATAATTTAACAGCTGAATAACCCTCCGTGTCAACTGTAAACAGCAGCATTAGGAAACACTATCCAGGCCTCCGCTAAACAGACGTTTTCCAGCCTGTGGTTGGCTCATGCTCACAGCTCGGGTCTATATTCGGTGAAGGAAAGGGGAAATGTGGCAGACTTCCTCTGAGCAGATATTTACAAGATGCACCAGGTCGTTGCTTCTGTATCCTTGCACGTAAACACACTCTCTCTACTTTGTGTTCAACTCAGGTCATTTTCTCTATTCTGTCTCTAGCTTTTTTTCCTTCATAAACCGCTAATCCATGCTGGGAAGTTAAACAGGACTACTTGTTAATTCTGTACCGACTCCCCTTATCTGTAATCAACTCATCCCAGCTGAGTTTACACTAAGCCACGGTCTCACTGGTCCACCTGACCTTTCCTTAACCTCTCTCTCTGTCTGCATCTCACTCTTCCTCAGTTCTTTGCCTCTCTCTCTGTCTCAAACATTTTGCTCAGTCAATCTCTTGACTGTTAAGTCTATTAGTTCGTTACTGCGTCTGCGTCACAACAAAGCTTCTGGCTGCTGACTGGGGGCCTCAGACACAACTACACACTCCTTAGCATCATAATCTCTCCTCTGAACACCTTCAAAGCCAGATACAGATCTTTGTAAACTCTTAAATAGAGATAAAACTGGTGCAACACCAACTCTAACCGAATAACTTGCTTTTCAGATATATATATATATATATATATATATATATATATATATATATATATATATATATATATATATATATATATATATAAAAACAGTTTTGTTAATAAGAGAGATTAATTTAAATACTACTAATTATGTTCATTTATTTCTATTCCATCATTTTCTGTCACAATATTCTAAAGGTTAAAATAGCAGAGGAAGTAGAGAGGCTTGAGTTTTATACTATAGTTCAGTGATGTCTTTCCAGTCACATATTGCTGCAAGCTGCCCGTCAGCTGGCCTAAAACAGTTTTAAGCTAACTTTAATGTGCTATAAGGAGCAGAACGACTAGTCTTCATATGAAAATCATGGCATTGACTGAACTATCTTTCAGTTATTTGAAGGTTTTGTAGCCGCCAAGCTTTTAAATGCTGCACTGTGCCACTGCTTGCTCAACACCTGATGTTGTGACAACATTCCAACAGTCTGTGACTGAACAAGAGACCAAATTACTTCTTAGTACAAGCACATCATGCATCGACCGCCGAGCTCTGCCTACCCTGAGAAAATGGAGAGCTGTAATCTTCCATAATCCTTTAGTGGCAGTGAAAATGGCTTCAGTCGGGTACGAAATTCAAAAACTAAGACTCACTCACTCCGGCCCCTGCCTGCCTTCACATTATGAACGTCGCAAATAAACGGAGCTCTTCAAGCCGAAGTGAAAGATCCACGCAAGCTGCTTTCGTTTCTTTTCTCTCCCTCTTCTCCTTTAATTCTTTCCTTGCTGCCCTCACCCCATATAATAGGCAGCGGAGCATTCATTCATGGCTGGAACACAGAGCTGCTACACAACTGAGCAGAACCATGGAGTACAGGGATAAAAAAAGACACTGAAAGAATAACAGAGTAAGGGACATAATAAAGAAGAGAGAAAGGGAGAGAAAATGTGCCTGATACACCATTAATCCCTGTGTGTGGGTGTGTGTGTGTGTAAGTCATCAGTATGCAGGCTCACACCTGGGTGTACGTGTAGACTGTATATCTACAGCCCAAGGTCACTGCTGAGAGGTACAAGGGAGGAAAAAATTAACAAGGCCAGTGGACAATGACGTTAGCCCTGTGTGGAACATTATAAGAGGGGACTACACAAGACAAGAGGTTTAGGTAGATTAGATGAATGGAGGCAATTGGCAATTAAGGTAATCTGGGATTTTCCTTTAAAATGTGGAGATTACATATGTTTCTGCAGTCCCCTAAAGAAAGCAGGAATAAAAACAAAAAATCTTTTAGAATTTCTTGTTTAGATAAGCCAACCCAAAGGGAGTGTTTTACGCCCCTATAGCATTGACACGCTTCCACTGAGAAAGAGCAGGCAGGTTCTCACCACAAAAACCCTCAGGAGGTCTGAGGCAACAAAAGGCTTTTCATTAGTAAACTCTGGACCTTAGACAAGTCTAAATGAAGAGGTGTATCTGTGTCACTGGGCTCTGGAGACCATCAGCCACCACACGCACCTTTCTGGTTTTTCCCGATTTACTCAAACGGTTAAGAGGTCTGAAACTACAGCTGCCGTTTTTTAAAGAGCAAAAGATGAAAAGCACCTTTTTTTTAATGTGGTTTTGACTCCCAGGCTGACAGACCGTGAACCGCTGCTACCTGCATTAATGCTTTCATCTCTCACAGCCCGTTAATGCCACCTTTCATTTTCTGCCATCACTGCAAATTTCCTTTCTATATTCTTGTCTCAGCTGCTGCTGCTGTTATAATGACCATTTGTTACTTATGCATTTCATTTCTTTAGATAAACAGAGGTCAAGCAGGTAAAAACAATTATAAAAAGAGACCAATGTTATGTTTTTCCCCCCATTCACTGACATTAAATCAGATCAGGTTATAGTAAAGATAACCAAAAAAATTAATATTTTCTGAATGTCTAAAGAAATGGAACATTGCTTATCACTCTTCCACATTCTTCCTTGTGTGGAAGAGAACTGCGACACTGTTTGTCCTTATGGGAAAATACTAAGATGATGGGGCCAGTATTATATTTATAAGCAATTATATATGTGGTAACATTTCCGAAATGTTGAGCAGGGATACTGTTCAAAAAGTAAGTGGATTTCAGTGAGAGGGTATGAACGCCCTCGGTTTCAGAGATATATATTTATTTTAAAAAGAATTTGAAATGTTAGAACTGTAAATATGCAGTCATATGTTTATATTCCTGTTTTTATGTATTTTTTTGTGTTTTCCAGGTTGCACATTAAAAAAATGAAATTGTCTGGAGAGCTGTTAATGGAAATTTCTTTTTGTTTTCATTGTATACAAAATGACAAAATAAATCTTTCTAAGTCATATATATATA